AGGTACAGGTAATAAAAAGCACAAATGTTAGTTACAGGATAGACAGTGGGAGGTCAAGCATAGTACAAGAAACGGAGAAGCCGATGAACTTACAAGCACGACCCATGAATGTGAACTAAGGGGGAAGGATGTTGGTGTGAGGGGAAGTGCAGGGTGGAGGGGAATGAAGGGGAGAAAAAAGTGGGACAAGTGTAATAATATAATCAATAAAAATATATTTTCAAAAAAAACTTTATTCATTAAAAAAAATAATGTAGCACAAGCCTAGATTTGTATTAGTTTCTGCTATTTTCATGAACATGTTCTCATTTTTTCTTAACTAATATTAAGTATTTATTATGAGCCAAGTGTTGTGTGCTCTCTGGTTTGTATGAATCATGCCATTTAATAGTGACTTCTCAAGGTGATAATGTGCGCTGCGAACGTAGGAACCAAGAAAGTATGGCTTAGAGCCTATGTCTCTTCTCAAAGGGTATTTTTGAAGAGGGAAAGGAGTAGATGGCAAGGGACTTGGGAGTGGGAGAGAAGAAGGAAACTGGCAGACTATAGAATGTTCTCTCAGGGAATTTAGAGGTAGAGACATGAGGAAGTGAGTAATCAAGGTAGTATTTCTTAGGAGAGACCTGAGCAATGAGCTTCTTTGGAGATTATTTGTCTTAGGCAGTGAACAGCACTTACTTTGTTTTATTTTTTACTGTAACTCTGTTGTGGTTGTCCTAACTTTTCTACCTTTGCCCTCTTCCACTCAGCCCACCCCCTGCTCCCACAGTCAATCCCCACAACTTTGTCCAAGTCCATGGGTGATTCATATATGTTCTTTGACTAATTCCCCTTCTTTCCACTGGTACGTCCCTCCCCCTTCTCCTCTGACCACTGTCAGTCTTTCCCAGTGTTTCTATGCCACTGGTTCTATTTTGTTTGTTAATTTATTTTATTCGTTAGATTCTTCTCTTTTTTAAAGATTTTATTTATTTATCTTTAGAGGGAAAGGGAAGGAGAGAGGGAGAGAAATATCAATGTATGGTTGCCTTTCGTGTATCCCCTGCTGGGAACTGTCCTGCAACCCAGGCATGTGCTCTGACTGGGAATTGAAACACGATCCTCTGGTTCACAGGTCTGTGCTCAATCCACCGAGCTATACCAGCCAGGGCGTGATTCTTCTTATAACTGAAATCATATAATATTTCTTTCACCGACTTGGCTTGTTTTATTTAGCATATTCTCTAGTTCCATCATACTGTCTCAAAAAGTAGGAGTACCTTCTTTATTTCTGGTGCATAGTATTCCGTTGTCTAATGTACCACAGTTTTTTGATCCACTCATCTACTGGTAGGCACTTAGGCTGTTTCCAGCACTTGACTATTATAAATAATGTTGCTATGAACACAGAGGTGCAGAAGTTCTTTTGAAATGGTGATTTGAAATTCTTAGGGTAATTCCCAGTAGTGGAATCGCTGGGTCAAAAGGCAGTTTGATTTTTAGTTTTTTGAGGAGATTCCATACTGTTCACGATAACTGCACCAGTCTGTATTCCACCGACAGTACACTAGGGTTCTCATTTCTCTACATCCTCACCAGCACCTGTTTTTTGTTGTTGTTGATTTATTAATGATAGCCATTCAACAAGTGTGAGGTGGTGTCTCATTGTGGTTTTAATTTGCATCTCTCTGATGGCTAGTGATGTTGAGTATTTCTGTCTCTGGGCCATCTGTATGTCATCCTTGGAGAATGAATTGTCTATTCAGGTCCTTTGCCCATTCAGTGAGCAGCACTTCTAAAGATCCATTGAGCAGTGCATATTTTTTTAGTGATTGCTGTATGCTCTTAGAATTCCCCAACTGTACATGGAGTGGGACATTGTTGCTAGGGAATTCATGTACAGTTTCCTCTACCTGGTTCTGCAGCAGGCTGTTTGCCTAGGCAGTCCTAGAGAGAGCAGATTTTGCACCTTCCAAGGTACAAAAGTCCAATTATCAAACTTGTGACAGGACGCCATTTGCAGTGGTGTCTCCTTTTGTTATTTAGTGGCAGATCCTGAGGAGAGAGGTGCATAGGTCCCGTCATCACTCCAACCTGCCTTCTATTGCCCACAGTGTTGACAGCCACTGGCTGAAATGGGAAGGAAATGTTCAGGGGCTAAGGCCAGGGACCTGCCAGCCTCTCTCCCATGCAAACAATTTAGTGAACTCAACAATTTAACAGACTAGAGAAAAGCGATCCCTGAAGAAGTGGTTTCCATTTCCCGTCTACGATTACAGAAGAAAGAGAAAATGTCATTCTATATAATCTCAGATGACTCCCACAGAGTCACATGTGAGCATTTGCTCCTGCCCTTAGGATTTCCAATGGTTACAGGATAATTCCTGTGTGGAAACAGGAAGTTGGATGTGAAAGTGCCACCTCTGCTGATCATATAGAGACCAAGAAACCCCATGAGTGAAGTGTTACCAAGGAAGGAGTGGTTCATTGACATAGTAGGTAGATTGTGAGGACAGGAAGAATAATTTATAAGACAGGTTGAAAATATCATAAATTTAAATTTCCTTGAAATAGCAATGATTATACTGTAATATGGTGAAAGATTTCCCTTGACAAGGAAGGTAAGTAAATAATTCCACCAGAAATGATTTTTGTCTGGAGTATGTTATGTTGCTTATGTATAAATGCCTATCATTTTTTTCCATTAATCCCACTATGTCAGTACTGAGTAGCTAAATATACATATTATGATATGGAATAAAGTTTCTAGGCATCTACATTTAATTTCAGTTTTCTTTTTTGGAATTTTCATTTTTATTTTAGAAAAGTAGTTTCCCATTGAAAACATTGAGGTGATATTAAACTTATGTAGAAAAGTGAAGTTTTCTTCGCTTGTTAATTTTCTATCTAAAAATGCCCTTTTCTACAGATTTGTTTGTATAATCTGATGATTTGCTTTAATTCCCACTCATTTAATGGTTAGATAAAACATAAGGTACCCATAATGATTTGGAACATAAGTAAACAAACAAACAAAAAACATGAAGTACCCAAAATCTGTTTTGGAATTTTTTTAAAATTTTTTTATTGATTATGCTGTTACAGTTGTTCTATTCCCCCCTTCATTCCCCTCCACCCTACCCCCCCATCCCCACCATTACCCTCCCTTTAGTTTATGACCATGTGTCTCAAGTCCTTTAGATTCTATATTTCCCATGCTATTCTTGCCCCCCCATCTATTTTCTATCTACTGTCTATGCTACTTATTTTCTGTACCTTCTCTCCCCATCTCCTCCTCCCACTCCCCTGTTGCTATCCCTCCTTGAGATCTTCATTTCTATGTTTCCACTCCTGATCTAGCTGTCCTTTTAGTTTGCTTTCGTTTTAGGTGTGGTTGTTAATAACTGGGTTTGCTGTCCTTTCACTGTTCATGTTTCTTTAACTTATTTTTCTTAGATAAGTCCCTTTAACATTTCATATAATAAGGGCTTGATGATGATGAACTCCTTGAATTTGATCTTATCTGAGAAGCACTTTATCTGTCCTTCCATTCTAAATGAAAGTTTTGCTGGATAGAGCAATCTTGGTTGTAGGTCTTTGGATTTCATGACTTGGAATGCTTCTTTCCAGCCCCTTCTTGCCTGTAAGGTCTCTTTTGAGAAATCTGCTGACAGTCTGATGGGGACTCCTTTGTAGGTGACTGTCCCCTTATCTCTTGCTGCTTCTAGGATTCTCTCTTTCATTTTAATTTTGGCTAATGTAATTATGATGTGCCTTGGTGTGTTCCTTCTTGGGTCCAACTTCTTTGGGACTCTCTGAGCTTCCTGGATTTCCTGGAAGTCTATTTCCCTTTGCCAGATTGGGGAAATTCTCCTTTATTATTTGTTCAAATAAGTTTTCCACTGGTGGCTGTGCCTTTCCCCCTTCTGGTACCCCTATAATTCGGATGTTGGAGCATTTAAAGATGTCCTGGAGGTTCCTAAGACTCTCCTCATTTCTTTGAATTCTTGCTTCCTGACTCTTTTCTGTTTGGCCATTATTTGCTTTCTTCTGGTCCACTCCATTGATTTGAGTCCCAGTTTCCTTTTCATTGTTATTGGTGTCCTGTGCAATTCCATTCATTTCAATTAGTTTCGCCTTCATATATTTGTGTAATTTGTTGCTATAATCAACCAGTTCTTTGAGGATCCTGATCACCAGTGTTTTAAACTGTGCGTCTGAGAGTTTTGCTATTTCTTCATCGCTTAGATCTATGGGTTCTGGGGCTTTGAAATCTTGGGACATTTTTGGTCTGTTCTGGCCCTTTAAGTGAGAGAAGCGGCGCCTCAGACTCCCAGGTCGCTGGGTTGTGATGCTGTATGTGGGGGCGTGGTCAGACCGGGGAAATGGCGGTGCCCTCTACTGCCGCTTGCCTGGGGACCTGCCGGGCCCTGGTCCTACCGCCCATTCCCTCGCCTGTCCGCTCGTGCACAAATGGGCGACCTCAGTCAACCCGCAGCACCGCTTCCCCGCTGTCTCCTCCGCGGTCGCTCGCCTGGTGGCTCGCTCGGTCGCTCACTAGGTCCAACCCTGCGCCTGGATTCCGCGTCTGGATTCCGCGCCTGAGACCGTCTGACCGAGTCCTCCTGTGCAACCCCACTTCACCAGCCGCTGGTTTCGCCCCTTACCGGTCAGGCTGAAGAATTTGTTGTTAACAGACTTCCGAAAAGTTCAATTTTCTGTGTTCTGGCTGTGTTTTCTGTTGCTAATATTTAGTTGTCTCTAAACTTGGTTGTGTGAGAAGGCATGGCACATCCATCTATGCCTCCATCTTGGCGGAAGTCTGTTTTGGAATTTTTTAATGTCTCAAGTGTACTCTCAGGTTTGCACATTGAGTTTTTCAATTTAAAATATTTTGAATATAAAATATTTTATATGAAATACAAAATATTTAAAAATCTTGCATATGATATAACCTTATGAGTTTTATTTTTTGTTTAACCTACTGTGTTCAGTGTTTTTTTTCTTTTAATTTAATCCAGAAATAGACAAAAAGAAGTATTACAAGTATAGCAAAGAGAAGACATTAAAGTGGCTGGGAAAAAAGGTATGGTACCTCTAGTACCTATGACAAAAAATTGCAATGATCCTTTTTAAAATTCTAAAGAATCTTGTATTTCCAACTAAGTGAGGAAAACTATATAAAGATATTCAATATGAAAAGAAATCTTACTTTTCACCATTCCTATCTCATTTGTCTCTGGAATTTACTAGATACTGTTTTTCTTTCTGTTTTTTGTTTTTCTTAGTTAGTTAGTTTGTTTGTTTGTTTGTTTGTTTGTATTTGACCTACAGTGACCTTTCATTTCCACATGATTTTCACCACGGAATTAAGGAAGTTCTTGCTCTTTGTTGATGGAGATCTGAGGTTTCCAAGCTACAAAAGTAACAGGCTTATGTGCATTAGCTGTGGCTGGCCCTGCAGGTATCTCAGAGGTGGATGTTGCTCCCACACAGCCAGGCAAGGGCTAAGGCAGACTGGATTCAGGCTTAGAGGAAGTGTGTCCCACTCTGTCTGAATGCTAAAGAAAGGTCATCTTCCAGGCACACCCTGTACCTTAGTGGTCCTAAGGAGTAGACTGCATATAAGATCTCTCAGTGTTTTCAGACTGATTTAATAAGTTGCAACAGTATTTTTCTTTTAATGGGATAGAATAGCGTATAATGGCTAGGATATTAAAATTTAACAGAGTAAGAGCAAGAATTAAGTATGGCTCTATGAAACATATTTTTATATATGTTTCCATATTGACTTGCTGTGTATTTCTTATTCTGGACTGTGGCTAAAAAAAGAAGAAAACAAGAAATACTTCGAAAGCCATTGATCTAAGGATATAGTATACTTTCACATTGATTAAGAATTTCACCAGAGGAGATCTATAGTTGACAAAGTTTTTGCAAATTCAATGATACCAGTAGTTAGAGTACTGATTTCTAGGATTCTTTTCTATCTTTTAATTTTATGAAAAATATGTTTGTATGTCATATGTTACTGGGTACATTAAGAGCCTTGGAGCATGCAAAGGAACCTTGTAGTATTAGACTTCTACTGTACAAAGTAGTGAAAAGATCTTAAAAGTGCCCCTATGTTTCACTTTTCATTCACCTTAGTATTAGTCTCTGTAGGTGAAGAATGAGTGTAAGTACCGAACAGAATCCTGACATTTAGTTTTTGCCTTCAGTAAACGGGTAATGACATGAATGGCAAAGTGAAGTTTACATTTATTTTCTTTTCTTAAATTTCAAGGATTTGGGAAATTTATATTATTTTGTTTAGGAAATAATTTCATATAAACTTTATGCCAGGTTTTGTTCTAAGGGCCTTAAATATAGGGTGAGAAAGAGTAGGTTTATAGTTGTGAGTATGTGAAATACAGAGTTTATTCTTATATTATCATTTATTTTTGTAATATTTTCCATATGAACAACTGTAAACCTACTTTTCTCCCACCTTGTATATTAACTCACTTAATCTTAATAACAATCTTCTGACATAGGTAGCATTTTTATCCCCATTTCACTGAGAAGTTAAGTAATTAGCCCATGGTCACAGAGTAAATTTAAGCAGCCCAATTCCATAGTCAGTACTCTCATACTGTGTAGCCCTTAGGAAGTCTATGTGTTGAGATCATCCCAAAATGCTATAGCTGCTGCTCAGACTTTGTCCAAATGTTCAGTCATTTCTTATCTTCTGATACCTCCTGAAGAAATAATTCTTCCTGAATCTTAAATGGATTGAGGACTATCTGGAGTTAGTTTAAAATACCCTAGTAATTCCCTTTGGTTATTTCATAGGTTAATCAGACTATGGCAGCATTAAAAACCAATAACATCAATGTTGGTGCTCGGGTACAGTCAAATGCATTTTTCTCTAGTCACCAGATTTCCAGTGACAAGGAAGGTAAGTAAATAACTTCATAAATAATATTCATCTGAAGTATGTTGCTTATGACTAAATGCCTGTCTTATAATTTCAAAATCTTAATGTCTCAGAAGCTTCACATTCTTGCCATTGTCTTCTTGTCTTGTGTCAAGTGTGCATTTTTTTCCGAACGTAATATTTCTATCATCGGTCACTTCTATCACTAATGGATACTTTAATCATTCACTGAGCAGATATTTATTTTACACTAATAATAACAACCCTAACAACTCTGGCTTTAATTCATTGAGGGTATATTGTCTGCCAAGTCTTTTACTGAATTGTCAGTTTACACACGTTATCTTACCTGACCCCAGTAAGTCTCATTTTAGAGTGAGATTCTTGAGTTTGTGTTCAAAGTCTCACCACTAGTAAAGGGTAAAACAGCTACCAAGGAGCCAAATTGACTTGTAAGCCCACATTCAAGCTTCTTGTTATACTGTTTGTGTAGCACACAGTGTCCAGTGAGCTGCAGTTGCAAACACAAGAAGTATATGTCCAACTGTAGGTCTCAATCCTTTAATTTTAGATAAAAATTGATTTAATTGGCAGATTTTTATATTATTAAGGTACATTCTTTTGCCTCAGTACGCTCTTATTTTTATGTATATGTTGAGTAAAACACCTATATAATGCAATTAACATTCTGAAATGGTGGGACAGAAATTATTCTGATTTTAAGCTTCAGTTTAGCGTTTCCCTGTTCTAGGTATACAATTCTGAAATATCTGGCTTTAGTCATAAAAATAAGTAAAAATTAGGAACAGTGCCCTGTTTGTGATGGATGGTAATTGAGGCAGTGTTTGATTTGCAGAAACATACCTTTGTCTGAACACAGCACAGACAGATGATAGATGACTCCAGCCATTCAGGGAGTGGTGGACAGTGCCCTTGCCATATGGAGTTTACCAGCTGTCAGGGTCTTTGGTTGGTTTTAACAAAAGAAGAGCTGGCATTGAATCAGATAAATTGATGAATGAATGGATAGATGTATAAAACCATTGTTTGTTTGTATAATAGGAGAAGGGATGTTAGAGGTTATTTAGACAGATGTCATTTTAAAAAATAAAAACCTCTTTGTCTCAGAGAAGTCGATGACTTATCCAAGGTCACTCATCCCGGCTAGTAGACCAGGTCTTCTGCTCCCAGTCCAGTGTTTTCAGTTTCAAAATATAAGGGTCTGGGTTTAGATATATTTCCATTTAGTGTTCTAGCAATAAAGTAGCTTTATACTCTTTGTTTTAGTTCCCTTTTAGATATTTAGTTTAATATGGTGCCACAAGAAGCAACCAAATGATACATTGGCCTTCTTTAATTTGTTTTGTCTATTTATGACTCATTGAATAATTTCTAGCCCAGAGAACCACGAGCATGTTTTGAAAAGAATTCAGTGATCCCTTGCATTTCAGCGTTGGCAGTGAAAATCTCTTACTGAAGACTTTTTAAGATCAGGTGGTCCAAGAAGCAAACATTTTCTAACAAATACTGAGGCAGCCCTAGCCAGATGACTCAGTTGATTGGAGTGTCTTCCCTACACCAAAGGGTTGTGGTTTCCATCCTGGATAGGGCACATCCCTAGGTTGCAGGTTTGATCTCCAGTTGGGGCTCCTACCAGAGGCAACCAGTCTTTTTCCTTTCCTTCTTTTTTTTCCCTCCCTCCCTCCCTCCCTTTCTCCCTTTCTCCCTTTCTCCCTTCCTTTCTTCCTTCCATCCTTCCTTCCTTCTTTCTTTTACATCCTCACCCAAGATACATTTATTGATTTTACAGATAGAGAGAGACATTGATTGGGTTGGCCCTCCCCTCTGGCTCCAATTGGGTCTCGAACATGCAACTTACACATGTGTCCTGACTGGAAATGGAACCCACGACCTCCTGGTGCATGGTAGGGCTCTCTAACCAATGAGCCACTCAGCCAGGGCAAAAGTAAGTCCTTAAAGGACATACTAGTTAAATTGTTATTTTAACTTGAAGTCAGAAGAGAAAGAAAAAAAAGAAGCAAATAAATATCTGAGCAACAAACCTGGAATTGTTGTTATTGATAGATATTTTCATATACCAATATATACAGAGTCCATATATCAATATGAAACTATATTCTATATATTGATCATTTATATTCTCATGTGATTATTCCATCTTTGATTATCTCCTAGTACCTACATAAAATACTGAATTAAGGAACAGGGCTTTAAAACAGATTTTATTTTCTTATGTAACTATTTAATTAATACTTAGTACTAAGGATCCAGATACTTTTGATTGATTGATTGATTGATTGATTTTAGACAGAGGAAAAGAGAAAGAGAGGGAGAGAAATATCAATGTCGTGGTTGCCTCTCACGTGCATCCTGCTAGGGACCTGGCCCACAACCCAGACATGTGCCCTGACTGAGAATCAAACTGGCAACCATTTGGTTCACAGGCCGGCATTCAGTCCACTGAGATTCACCAGCCAGGGCCAGATACTTTTCAGTTAATGATTATACACTCTACTCTACTTTAGTTTTTTACATTTTAAAGCATTTTATTAGTTTGGAAGTATATATAATGTTCAGGACTTTTATACAGTAGGAACTTAGTAGGTATTATTTCTCTTAAATGAGCATACTTAATACTCTTTGATGATTAGATTTATTTCTATTTTGAAAAAGATCTAGAAACAATTAGTCTTTTTCAACAGACATGAATATCTCAGATGGTTACAGCTAATTTTTGAACTTTATTTATATTCAAGAGCCTCAATTAAGAAAATTCTGAATTTTGGCTTTAACTATCATTTAATGGGCATCTACTGTGTTGTACTTGTATTATTTGGTCATATCTTTGATAGTCTTGTATGGTTATCCATCATATATCACTTCACTACTTTGGTAATACTAACATCCCCATTTTAAAAATGAGCAAATGGACAAGAAGCTTGAATCTTCAAGGCAAGCTAGAGCCGTAATTTGAACTTTGGTTGACTTTAAATCTATCACAATTATTACTGTTTTTTCTTTCACTCTTTATTCTGTTGTTTTGTTTTGTTTTCCAGAGAACTATATTTGTTATGCTCATGGTCTCGTATCTGATTATATCCCTAAGGAATTAAATGATGACTTATCTAAATATTTAAAGTAAGTATTGTTCATCTTAAGACACAATTAGGAAGTACCTTTTTAATTCTTGGTGTTCTACCAATAAAGTTTTTTATGGCTTATCACTGTTTCTGATAAGAGATTATTTTTTAGTTATGTCATAGACTCTATAGTTTGGAGGTGATTTTTAATGGATATTCATTGATTGAAATGAATTGATTTAGTGGTTACTGATTGGAACTTGTGTTAAGATTAGAATTATGGGTTGGTATGGTTGTAGACAGTAAACTGTATTAAAATTTTATCCCCAGTTAGACTTAACAAATTTGATTCTTTCTGATCATTGTAATAGAAATGAATGAAGGTGGGAAAGAAAGAGTGGATGGAATGTAGAATATTTTTAGAAGTTACATTTAAAATTTCTGTACCATCTTCTCTGTCATTAGATGTTCACTAAGTACTTTTATTACATCCAGAACTTGGAATTCAAAAAGGGAAAAAGCACTATGTCTTTGAGGGCAGAAGGGTTTAAGAATGACTTGATTTGTGTTCATTCCTTCATAAAGATTTTTGATATGATATGAAGATTTTACCTTAGGCTGAAAAAATGTTTTTTCCAGATTTTAGTAAATGTTCAGAATTTATAACAGTGATGATTTAATAGCTTTTCCTCATCCTTAGAACTTTTTTCTCTGATACACAAAAGTAAAATGACTTTTTTAATAGATATAATTGCTGTTTTTAGCAAATTGCCTAGGTCTTTTAAAAAATAGCGGAAACTGGTTTGGGTTAAAGATTTGGATGAAAGATAAGTCTATTAAAGTTCTCTGTAATGGAAGAAAGGTACATTTTGTGTGGCTTTTGTTAGTGGTTAATATGAGGAGGGATAATCTGAAGAGGGACCCCCCAAAACTGGAAATTATTTATAAAAATTGTGTATTCTTACTTGTTTAAACTTTAGTCACTTTGAAAGTACTCTCCATTTGTTGCAGTAAGCCTATCACGACATTTTTTTTTCCATTGCTCAGAACAGTTTTTGAACTTGTCAATTTTGATAACTTTTAGTGCTTCTGCCATGTTTTTGTTTCACTTCTTCCACATCAGCAAAATATTTCCCTTTGAGGACTTTTTTCATCCAGAGCAGAAAAAGTTGCTTGAGGCAAGATTGTGTGAATAGACAGGGTGGGCATGTGGGTTATGCCATTTTTGGTCAAAAACTGCTGAACACTCAGCACAGTGTGGGCAGGTGTGCCTGTAAATCATCCATCATGAAATGGGCAAATGCGTTGATTGAGTCTTCAAAAAAATTCACTAAAGCTGAATGCAGCCTCTCACAGCAATACCAACTGGTACAGTGATTCAGAAGGGTTCCTAGGACACTTACCTGTGGGGGAAGCCTGTACTACAAGGTACTCACTCTCCAAAAGACAGTTCTGGGTTTTTTTTGGTCCCACCTTGTATAATTTTAACTTTTAAATATATGCTAGATTCATTATATGTGGAGAAACGATACTACAATGCTGAAATGCAGATTTATAGTCTAAAGAAAAGCAGTCAGTTTCAACAAATGAGTTCTAATTTTATTTTTTAGTTCACACAATTCCAATACAAGGTATTAAGTAGTGAAATGAAGATTTATTCATTTAGTTAAATTTTACTCTACACTGAGATGATTGTACAATATATGGAAGTGAAGCTGTCAGAAGAAAGTAGAACTTACTGAATCTTGCTGGCCCAGGCGTTCTTTTCGTCTATGAAAAACCATGACTATAATTCTTATTTTTTACTTCTTAGGCTTCCAGAACCTTTGGCTTCATTGCCAAAGCCTCCATCAAAGGTAAGAAGCTGTGACTAAGATATTTTGGGGGACCTAGAACAATGTTATACTTTTACCACATAGGTTTAGTTTGTTGTAGTGTATTTTAAAGCATACTAAATCCATATTGCATGGAGTGATGTTAAGTGGAATAAAGATCGTACTGGACTCTCCATCAGTATTTTATATTTTTGTAGCTTTTACCTGAATAATAAAGTACTGTGAATACCCAATAAGAGTTGGTTAGCCAGAAAACTATATAAAAATATAATAGATATAATGATAATTAAATATTTTTATTAGCTAGACCCTGTAATTTATTAATCATCAGGAATACGAAACTTTTGCTAAATCTAGTAGTCACTGGCACAGAGATGCATAGAGCATGGTTTTTGTAACACAAAGAATCCTTTGAGCAAGGATGACCATACTTTATTTCTGCACTTGAAATGATAGGTACAATTTGTGTATATTTGTCTGTCAGTGGAAAGCCTTTTCTTCTCTCAGATATTCTCAAACTGCCACCCATAGCTCCTCTGCGCTATGTGCTAGCAGCTTGTGTTTTTCTCACAGATTGGGAGAGTGGAGAAGCCAATCATAGACCACACCTTATGACACACTATAGTGTCCTTCAGTGTAGGCCTGACCTCCGAGACTGAAAAATAAATATGCACCAGTTTGTCAGTGAGGTCTTTCTCCTGCCAGCAAAATAATAGAAACCTTATAATGCGAGGTGGACATGTTGTGGATGTTAAACTTTTCTTTTTTCCTGACTTCAAGATGGCCAATATTCTCAGGATTTTGGGGGGTTTTTTGTTTGTTTTATTTGGAGGTGGTGGAAGCTCCCAAAACATTTATTACTTTGATGTTTAGAAATACAAGGAAATTTCCAGTGCATCATTGTGAGTTGTGGGCCACTTTCAGCCAGTTGTCAAAGTTGATTCATCTTTCATTCTCTGAAATAGCACTGGGCCAGGAAGTCAGACCCACACTTCTTCCAGTCCAAATAGTCCACTGTCTCCAACAGTGGCACTTAGGAACAGAGACATAATTGTCTAAGAGAATGGGCATATTTGTACCTTATTTATTTCTCTCCTTCCAAAAACCATGTTCCTTTCTCCCAAATATCTGTCTTTCTGCATAACTTTGAGTTCGTTCGTGAATGGATCTAACCCTATTTTGAAGGTTTTAGCCTTTTTTCTCAGACCTAGTTTTCTGTTTCCTTATTTTAATTTCCAAACTTTCAGTTGTTTGTGATTTCTTCATTTATGATTTAGCTGAGGGATGAGCAAACTTACTTTGTAAAGGCCAGATAGTAAATATTTTAGCCTTCCTGAAGCAGATGGTCTCTGTTACAACTACTCAAATCCACTGTTGTGATGCAGAGTCAGCCATAAATAACTCATAAATGCACCAGTGTGGCTGTGTTCCAGAAAAACTTTATTTATGAAAGTAGGCAGCCATCTGGATTTGGCCATGGATAGTAGTTTGCCAAGCCCCGATTTAAATCTCAGCATCTTGTCTCTCCTAAATCTCAGCCCTCCCTCCTGGATTATTTTAGTTGCTTTTTAAGGTCTCTTACTCTATTGTGTTTTTCTGGGGTTCCAGTGAACACATTGCATACTGCACTAGATGATGTACCATAGTTTAAATGAGCATAGTATAATTTTTTGCTAGCTTTCCTGTCTGTGTCCATGACTTGATTGATTTTACAGTAATTTAGTTTATTGTTTTCAGGAAGTATGTTCCAGTGGCTCCTCTTTATATCTGTGTTATGATTGATAGCATGGAGCCTGTCATCCTTAATATGTTTTGCATCATTTTCTTACTATCATATGTTTGCCTTTGTTTAAGCTCAGCTTCTAATCCTCACTCCATCCATCTTTTGAATTTATCACTGTCAGCTAGCAAAGCTGAATGCAATCAGTGGATTTGGAGATGTTCCTGAATTTCTTCTTGCAAATCATTTTTAAGAATTGTAAGGCAAATCCATTCTAGTGTTAATTCCTTTGGTACTCTGTCATTTGCTCTTCTCTTTCCAGAACTATAGCCATTTAGTCATACCTTTTGTTAATGCCTTTCTGAGCCACATTTCTATTTCTTCTGAAACATTTCCCCAAACCCACAGTGATTCAGTCTTTTATTGTAACAAAAAAATATAAGTAAATATAACAATTATGGTTTTCTTCCAACATATTCAGTAGCAGGCTAGGAATAACATAAAACTACTCCAACCATTTTCTTATTTGCAAATAAAAATGGCTACTCCAACCATTTTCTTATTTACAAGTTCTTATAACTGGTGTCTTGTTTGATAGTGAACTATTAAAGCACCTGAACAGGTCAGTCATCTTATTAAATGTTTAACATTTATAAGGAAACATCTTTCATCTTAAGCTCTTCTCATTAACATTTTTTAATTTGACTTACTAGTGAAAAGTAGTGACTATACCTATGTGTTTATGATGACATCTGTATTAGTATATTTTGCCACAGGAGGAAAGCAAACATCCTCATAACTTTAAGCTTTTTTGTGGTGTGAAACTATTATAGTCTTTGTGATTACCTCTGAGTTCTACTCTCCCTATTGAAGATACCTTACTAGTGAAAATATGCATCAGCTAAACACTGTCTTAATTTTAGTAGAAACACATGTTAAAGTTGGTTGTTCACCTACTGTGCTGGTACGAAGTTCACATGTGATAAACTTATCTTTTTCTTTTGAAGATTCATTTTCTGGAGGTTGCTGTGTGGCCAAGCAGTTTTTTTTTCCTTTATGTAATATAGTACCAGGTGCCTCTCTGTTGTTCTAGAGAAGAATTTCAAGACATGTACATGTGCTGTGGCATCTTTTAGTACCAACTTTACCAGTTCTTTGAAGCTGGGATCAAAATTGTATTTTCTAGGGTCGATCCATGTGGGGTCTTACCACTCTGTTATCCACAAAGAGCTTGAAAATCTGCAAAATTCTGAGCTAGGATCACTGTATAGTCAATGTTCCATTTAAAGACATATCTGCCCTACTCTTTGCCCTTTACATAATAAATGTGGCATGATTCCTTCTCTAATGAGAACATTAAGACTAAGTCTACCTCTTGACAAGATTCTCATGTACATGAATGCAAAATACTCACGTGAAAGGTGAAAATATGAAGTAAACGTTGACTTAGTTGCATTGGGCCTAATGGGAAAAGGGCTTGTACAAAAATTGAGATCTCTCCCTAAATATTTTACTAGGCAGCCTTAAGTTATTTGCTTAACATTTCTCTCCTTCCTTTTCCGCTGCATGCTTGATTTGCAAAGTTGTTCTTATTTGGATGAAATGAGATTATTGAATTGAAATGTAACAACATGAAGTTATAAAAAGATGGTGATAATAGCTATTCCTAAATGAATATTATACCAGCCCAAGAGGTGAATGAAGAGGAGGTTCTGGCCCTACACAGCTGGCCTCCTTAAAGGAAACTCTCATCTTTGGTATCATTCCTACATTCACGCCCTTAAACTGTCCTGGAAGTCAGCAGTCCCTATGCATGGTGCATGCAAAGTATGTGATCATTACTACTAGACTGCCTAGAGACTGGGGGTGGGACTTGCTTAATTATTTACCCCCATTACCAAAACTGATCCTCAGAAGGGCTGTGTGGCTTAGTTCCCTAGATAATAAGCAAAATGTAGAGGAACTTATAAAAAAATAAGCACTTTGCAGGGTCAACTGCTTCATTTGGCTTCATTGTATGTCCAAATTGCACATTGGTTCTTTCTAAATGGATTGATGTATCAAGGTGATATTTTATACCACTTCACTGCTCTAACATTGCAGAAAGTAAAATTATCACATGAACCCATAGAAGCAAAAGAAGATTATACTAAGTTTAACACTAAAGATTTGAAGACTGAAAAGGTATGTGTGTCCAGGTATAGTGACATACTCTTTCTTAACACTCAATGAGTGTATTGCCTGGGGACATCCAGGAATGATTGCATACTTGACTCTAATTTTATAGTTTTAACCATGAACAATTATTAACTTGTGACTTAAGTTTATTTCTGTGACTTAATCATCAATTCAAAATTGTGAATGACAATGAAAATGTCAAGCAAGGAAGCCTTTAGGAATCAAAGAAAAGCGATATGCTTAGCAAGAATGTGCCTAAACTTTGCCTGTATTCTAAGTGATAGTGGGACAGAGGGAGGGAGCTGCCACACATAATGTTTTTTCAACTCAATGGTCCAGGAGCCTCCCAGAAATTATAATTGTTAATAACCTCAAAATTTAGTAATCACTCTGACAAATATTTTTGTAACATTTCTTATTAAGTTTTATCTTGTACATGCATTATAAATTTATATTTATGCTTTTCAATTGGTATTGGTGTGTGTGTGTGTGTGTGTGTGTGTATAGTTCTGCCCTTTTCATTTATAACTGTGTTGTGAAAATATTCACGTTATTAAGCATTGTTTGAAAATGTATTAATTTTTCATCATATTACTCATTTTATTTCATCATATGAAATATAATTTATTTAGTCATCTCCTTATTTTTGGACACAGCTTAATTTTTTTTGTTTTTATGAAATGATACACATTGATAGTCTGCATCTCTGATTTCATTAGACACAATTTAAAACTAAGAGTAAGATACACGTATGAAATGGTTTCTGAAAATGTAGTAGAAATTTGTACTCACAACTATTATTCCTGCTGAATATTAATCTTACATTCTTGACAACATTTAGTATTATTCATTCTTAAAAATGTTTGCCTATGTAATTAGGCTGCATTTCCTTAACTGTAAAGTTAGTTGTTTTTCAAATGCTTATCAGCCATTTACATTTTTGCAAATTGTCAGTTCATGTCTCCTGTCTGTTTTTTATATTGGGATAGTAATGTTTTTCTTGTTGATTTGTAACAGCTCATTCTAAATTAAAGCTATTAATACTTTTCATGAGATATATTTTCATTTTATATATAGTTTTAAGTTTTTCTGAGGATTAAATATAGAAATGGTCTTGTTTCTGATTTTCTCTATTTTTATGCATAGAAGGACCTTGCCCATTTCAAGCTGGTTTAATTACCACTTAAAGTTTTTAAGTACATTTTATTCATTAATCTATATGTAATTTATCTGGGCATGTGATATCAGAAGATAATCCAACTTGAGATGTAACTAAATAGCTGGTTATCTCTGTGGTTTATGTAAGCAGGGGCATTTTTTAGTTCCTCTGTTAGAAGTAATTCTGCCATACACTCTAACTGCTCATTGTATCTCCTTGGACACAGCATCAGTGAGGTAAGGGGTTGGATCATATTGTCAGTTTTAATGCAAGGGATGACTTATCTCAGAGACTGTCACTTTTCACTATCCAGTGAAAATTGTAAGTGACAGGTATGAGAAGCAAAATTCCAGGGATCCTAATACTGTGCCCTTCAAAGATACTTTGCCAATGACTCACAGTTCCCAGGGAGGCAACTGACTTTTTTTCTTTGCTGATTCCTATTATTTATGCCTCTGCTACAATGTAGCAAAAAAATGATAATATGCAAGGCAGGGGTATTTGGAATCAGCTTTTTGGAAAGCATTTTGTGTTTGGAGGGAAAAAGGGCAGCTAGCTGATCTAAGATGCTTTGCAATACAGGTTATGTTTTGACTATAATAACATTGTCATTGATTTCCCATGGAGCCACTGAATAAAGTCAAATGGTAAATTATTGTGAATTATTCATCATGTAGAAGACTGTAATTCTTCCCTCTGACGGTTGCTGCCTGTGTCAGTTCCAGTTTGTGTTACTGCACTTAGTGTACCCTCCAGAATTATTCCCCCTAAAGTAAACCTTTGATTGTAAAATTCTACTTCTTAGAAGACAGCAGTTTGTCTCCTGCCTCTTCTAACACATTTTATCTCTAGATCTGAATTAATAGAAATCAGAACTTTTTTCAGTAGTCACTGTCTTATGAAGCATATTAGTGAATGCTTAACTCCCTTAAAGAACCTTGAGACTTGCATGATCTGGTTTGATTTGCTTGTGTGATTTGTAAATGTTGTATTTGAAACAAATTTTCTCTTATTTTCATTAACAGAAAAATAGCAAAATGACTACAGCTCAAAAGGCTTTGGCTAAAGTTGACAAGAGTGGAATGAAAAGTATTGATTCTTTTTTTGGTACAAAAATTTTTTAAAAAATTGGAAAGATTTGAAACTTTGAAAATTAAATCCAGCAAAAATATTTGTCTTTTACAGTTCAATTTTTGTCCTTCTTCCATATCACTGTATTTATTTCCTGACCCTCAGTCACCACACTTTGGTGGGGGAAGCAGTTAGTAGATTCATTTGTACATTTTGTTTTATTCGAATTTTATGTTCTTGAATAAAATATGGGAAAGTAATTGTATAAATGACTTGTGGACTTTGGAGTCTTCTTTGGCATAACTGAAAAGTAATCAAGTGACTAGAATTAACCTCTTAGTATCTCAATTTCCTCAATAAACTAACATGTGACAATATGTGAGTGTGTGCCTGTTACTTTGTACAACTTTGCCAAATGGTAGTCATAGCAATATGGTTTTCAGTATATTGAGACAGCTTTGACTTTTGTTTAATGTTTTGTTTGTTTGTTTGTTTTACGAAGAGACTAGTATAAAACAAAAATTGTAGTCTCCCAACTTTTCATTGCCCAAAGGTGCATTGAAATACACCCAGAATACACCCAAATGGTGCATTTTATAATAGTTTTTAAGGAGCATAAGAGGGAGGACAGGGGGAAGGGGTAGTTAAGGAGTATGTATAAAGGACATATGGACAAATGGAAAGCCAAAAACAGGTAGTAGGATTGGGGGTGGGAAATGGGGATGGATGGAGTGGGGTTGAGTGGGAGAGAAATGGAGACAGCTGTACTTGACCAACAATAAAAAAATACACAAGTATATAAATTTAATATGTAATAAATATATAATACATAATAAGATATTTTCAGCCATAAAAATATTTTAAAAAGGAATTATAATTTTATAACCTTTTCCCTTGATAACATCATTTTGTGAGCATTTGTCCAGACTATTAATATGCTTTTTTAATGATAATAACTTTTAATTGTTTGGATATTTGATTATTTAATAACCATGACCCTGTTTGGGGTATATAGATTATTTTCAAGTGTTCATTATTTGAATAATCAGATTATATATAAATATTTTTCCACATCTTTTATTCTTTTCTTAGAATGGATCTTTAGATGTAGGCTAACTGGTTCATAACTAAATTCTCCAAATATGTATTTGTGGGAATATATTTCACAGAAAGTTTATAGTATCTTGCACTTTAATAAATGGTAGTGTGACTTCTTATCTTATTAAATGCCACCTTGTTAGCTTTCAGTGTTGTCTTTGCATATAAGTGGGAAAAGGCATTTTATGGTAGTTTTAATTTACATTTACCTGATTAGTAATGATAGTACCAGTATATTTTTCGTGTTTACTGATCATTTCTCATCTCAGAGAGAGAATTACCTATTTAGGCCCTGTGTTAAATTGTTGGGAGTGTAAGAATTTTTTAAATTGACTCTAAAGGTATTTTGTTAACTTAAGAAACATTCAAACCTATGGAGAATTTTTGGTGAATTTATTTGAGCCAAACTGAGGACAATTGCCAGGAAGCAATATCTCACCAGAATGAGAAATGCTGTGGAGAATGGCAGTTTAGCACCTTATTTTATACTATAGAATCAAAGGAGGGGCCATAAGAGGCCCACTGGTGATAGATTAGGGAAGCAGGAGAAAGCAAAGTGGGGGAAATCTCTGATATTGGATAAAAGGTGAAATAATGGACACTTTTACATAGGTGGGTAAGGGATAGTTGTCAGTCAGCAATTAACATGATAAGAATAACAGTGAGGAGATTGGTGGTCTCAGCTTGATCCCAAAAGGGGTTTGGGAAAAAGGGAAGTTACTTTGACATCTCAAAAGTATGTTATCATAGATGCAAAAAGACAATAGACAGGATCATAGATATGTTATCATAGATGCAAAAAGACAATAGACAGGCTGTTAAGGTACAGATTGACCTTTGTTAGGGAAAAATACTGGCCTAGGATAGGACTACCCACCATGAACTGCTTTTTATTAATACTGTATTTTGCCATATAATGTGTACTTTTCTGCCCAAGTTCTTGAGGGAAAAATAAGTGTGAGCATTATACATGGGTAGTAATTCCGTATCTATATAAATGTTTTTAATTCTTTTATTTATGGTTATGCATTAAAAGGGTAACTCTAGAAAGCAATAATGTTATCCATATATAAAATAATACCCTGGAATACAATAATAGGTTTTGTTTCTCAATATAAATAAATAATTGAAATAAAAATTTGAATGAAAGATTTTCTTTCTGAAAGCATGAGACAAAAACATGGGTGTGCAGTATACATGGAAGCCCATTATACAGAGCAAAATACAGTAAGTTTTAATTTTAGACCTGAAAGGTTTTCTTAGGCTCCACCAAGGAATAAATGCCAATCAGCCACAAAGTTAGGCAGTATAGAGCTTTATTGGGGTTTGCGTACCCGGGCAAGGTTCTTCGGTCTGCAAAGTGGGGCCGAAGAAGTTGCATCGAGCAGGGTTTGTGGCAGGATTGTAGCAGGGTTTTATTTTGGTTGGCTCTCTTCGTGGGAGCTGGGAATTGGTCCCCTTTGAACAAAGTGGCAATATATCATTGGTGGCTCTCCTCAGGCTCAGGTTGCTATGCAGATATCCATTTTAGCAAAGCCCTTCGTTTGGGCTCTCTGGTTTGACGTCAGCTGTCTTTTTCCGGTTGTAGTTCAGCCACCATTTTGTCCTACCCCACCCATCCTGACATTCCAACCTCTTTGATAGGATAAGGGAGGTCATGTTTGATCCAGCTACTTCC